TTTTGTAAATGGAATCTGTGGTTGTGCGGTTAATTGCCAACCAGCTCCATCGAAGACATGATGAAAAGACGCTAATTATTTTTGTTTCTAATGATGGTCTCCCATATTTTTTCGTTTTTGTTTAAATGGATTAGTGAGTCATCAATTGTCGTGATGTTTTGATGTATTCATATTTATGTTTCGTTCTATGGCTAAAAATTTTTTTATTTTTATTTTTTGGATTATGTTGTATGAGTTTGTTTTATGTGTATTCTACTGTTTAATTTGGGCTTGTAGTTATAAGATTATTTTTATTTATTTTTTGACGGGAATTTTCAGTGTGCGATTTTAGTGATCATTTTTATTTTACTTTTTTTTTAGGTTAGAAGTATTGTTAAGAACGTCATTGTTTTATTTATTTTGTTATTCTTTTTGTTAGGGGAATCAAAGGCATAATCTATTCTTCGTAGGAATTTCGTTGAAAGGTGTTATGGGTATTGATTACTATAAGGTTCTTGGCGTTGGTAGGAATGCAACACCTACGGAGATTAAGAAGGCTTATCACCAGTTGGCGTTGAAGTATCATCCTGATAAGTGTACTGGGAACCGTGAAGAAGCTGAACGTCGTTTTAAAGAAGTTTCGGAGGCTTATGATGTTTTGAGCGATGAGAATAAGAAGAAGATTTATGACAAGTATGGAGAGGAGGGGCTAAAGGGAGGTGTTCCTGCGGATGGTGGTGCTGGTGCCAATTTTCATGGTGCGTTTCCTGGTGGTACGCACTACTCGTTTTCGCAGGGTGACGCTTTTAATATTTTTCGTACTTTTTTTGGCTCGAGCGATCCGTTCGCTGGTGGTGAAGAATTTGGTGGTGGTGGTCCTGGTCTTCATCGCGTGTTCCGTGGTTTTGGTGGTCCTCAAGGGTTTGCGTCAGGATTTGGTTCTCCAGAGATGTCGCCTGTTCATGAGGTGCCCCCTGTTGAGTATACGTTTGCGTGCACACTGGAGGAGATTTATCAGGGATGTACAAAGAAGTTTAATGTGTCTCGGCAGATGCCAGGTGGTACGGAAAAGAAGGTGTTTGAGGTCAAGGTGCTTCCTGGGTATAAGAAGGGTACAAAGATTCGGTTTGAACGTGAAGGAGGTATTGTGCAAGGATATCCTCCTAATGTGATGGCTGATATGGTCTTTGTTCTTGACGAGAAGCCGCATCCGCGGTTTGAACGGAGCGGTTCAGATGTCCGAACAACAGTCCATATTAACTTGAAACAGGCGTTATTGGGTACTACTGTAAATGTGGTCTGCCTTGACGAAACCACAACTTCCCTCCCACTAACAGGAGTGAGCAAGAACGGTCGTCAATTACGTGTGAGTGGCAAAGGTTTTCCTGATCGAAAGACGGGAAGAACTGGTGATATGTATGTAACAATTGCAGTTGATATGCCGGCATCGATAAACGAAGAGACAAAGAAATTGGTTGCAAAATGCCAGTTTTAGGTGAAATTTCTTTCCCTTATTTTCTTTGCAGTCTCTTCTTGTGAACTGTGAAACAGTTAGAGAAATGTTAAAAGTAAAAAGATCTCGTTCGGAATCGAAGTGGTGAAGCTCTGCACCGTTTTTTTCTTTTTCTCTTTTCGTTTTATTCCCTTCCCCTTCTTTTCTTCTTCTTTCTATTATTATCTATTATTTATTCAGCGAATTCTGTTTTCTTATGCGTATATTTCTGTTCTATTATGATGGTGTATAGTTGCATACTACATTTTTTTCTCTTAATGAATGAGAAATGTCTTTTTCTTCTTTTATTATTTATTTATTTATTTTTATTATTCTTAGTGGTAACCGTTGTAATTCTGAGTGGGATCATCATAGCTGATTTGTTAGCCGTAAATCCTGGCTGATTTTAAGCCGGGACGCTGGAAGCGGCTGCGCGAGAATACCACGCAATGCTAGAGTGTGTAGAGAACAGTATCAAAGTAATTGTTGTTGGTGATGGAAATGTAGGCAAGACGTCGATGCTACGGCGTTTCGTGAAGGGAGAGTTTTTGAGTCCATACAAAAGAACTATTGGTGCTGAGTTCATGGAGAAGAATGTATTCCTTCGCTATTCCAACAGAACTGTGAAACTCATGCTTTGGGACACGGCAGGACAAGAGGTATTCAACTCTCTTACACAGGCTTATTACCGTGGAGCTGCTGCTGCGATACTGGCGTTTAGCACTGTTGATAAGGATAGCTTTATGAATGTGCCAAATTGGAAGAAAAATGTTGAGAACGTTTGTGGGTCAATCCCGATGGTTCTCTGCCAGACAAAGTTCGACCTAGTTGATGAGTCAGTTGTCACTAACGAAGAGGCGGAGCAGCTTGCAATGCAGCTTCAAGTGCCTTTTTTTCGTGTATCTACAAAAGATGATTTTAACGTGACACAAGTATTTGAATTTACAGCTGATATGTGTCTAAGTAAAGAGAAGTCAGATGATCATAGCGGATTGCCGGACGCGCCCTTTATCGGCCAAGGCGATACGGGAATGACCGGTTCCCCAACTGCGGGCCGTGGCATGCAGTCAGCTAGGAACATTAATCTGAGTGCGAAAAATATGGACAAAAAAAAGAAGCATAAGAAGAATCGTTGTGATCTATTTTGACGGGTTTTTGTTGGAATCAATGAGTTGCTTAAGGGTTTACTGTGGAATATGTAGTTTGTTGAATGTACCTGGTCTGTGTTTCCATGTGTTGCTTCAGGTGTATGGGACTAAGATGAAGATCAACGGTTGAGAAGAATAATAAAAGAAAGGAGGACAGAAAATAAGATGGAAAGAAGAAGAAGAAGAAAAAAGGAGAAATAGTGAAATATCTTCTTTTACGTGGGTTGTCCTCATCACATCTCTGTAAATGCGAATTTACTCTGGAAAAGTAGAGTTTTGTACAATTGTTTTCTTTCTTTCATGTATATGATCTTGAGCAGTGTCTGAAATTCTATCCCCACAGCTGTGTTTCTCTTGGTTGTGCTTACCGGTACAATATATATATATATATATATATATATATATATATATATATAACAATAATAAGAATACTGAGAAGGAGTCCGAATTACAAAATACAAAAAAAAATATGTCATTTTTTAAAAAGGTGAAAGCTGTCTTTCGGCAGGAAGATAGTTTGCCTACACTGCAGCACGTGTGGACGGGCGGCAGTAGTTGTGGCAGCAGAGGTAATGACACCCATAGCGTAAAGCAACACAGATCTGTTAACGGTGGACCGAGTATCTGGCCTGTACATCCTGATGTTCAGAGAAAGATACAAGAATGCACAGACATGAACATGAAAGCTGTTGTACGTGGGATGCGACGAACAGGGAAGTCAACAATTGTGACTCGGCTTTGCGGATATACACCACCAAACGCCTACATACCATCTGCTGAGATCAGTGCAGGTACTATTTATTACCATAGCCGTATGGGAAAGACGGACCGTGGTGGTGCTAAAGTGGAGCTCTGGGACGTGGTGGACGAGGGATTCAAAACGGGAGGAAATAGTGGAATGTCAATGACTTCTCCTTTAGCTGACGCACGTTCTATTGATGTTTACAGGGGCTGCCATCTTGCAATCTTTGTGATTGATCGAACCCGAAAGGAAACTTTGGAGTATGCTGTACGTGAAGCACATCATGTGCCACCTACAACGTGTATACTGTTTGTACTTAATTTTCATGATACTCCCAAGAATACTCATGTTGTTTTCGAGAGAGATATTGATAACGCTTGCAGGTCTCTTAGACGAGCAACAACACCGATGATTTTAGCCGCATGTGCTGGATGTGCGCCACCAGAGGATTGTTCTGCATCTGTAACATGGGTAGACATTAGCGCTGTTACTGGTTATGGTATGGAATTGCTCCATACTGCTTTTGAGATTCCTTATTTGCTTCTTCGTGTGCTGGATCTGGAGACTCAAATTAACTCTCATTTTCGATGCATTGAACAGTATCAAGCATGGGTATTCACTGAGAGGGCAAACCTTCACTTATTGGAAAAGAGTGAAAAAACTGAGACACATGAAGAAAATGATGAAGTATTAGATGGTGCCGTTAAAAAAAACCCAGAAAAGATTAATGGACAAGGCAGTATAAAAACATTAGGAACCGAGTTAATTTATTCTTCTTTGAATGTGGTTGATGATCACTATGTTAAACGTCCTCTGAAAGATGGGGAGGAAGATGAAAATGGCATTACAAAAGGTTTTTTTGATGGATTTGATGATGATGAGACAGGTAACGATACGAGAATAGAAGAATCTATTTCTAAAAGTAATAGTATCAGTGTTAATGAGAGTAGAAGAACATCCAAGACTCAAACCGTGTCATCAGTAGCACCATCATTGTCGTTAGGAAAGGTAACTTTGGGTAACCCCACGTTAGGAACGAATGCTATTTTAGATGCTGGAATAGAAAATCAGCGAGAAGACAAGAAGTTTGGAAATATGCTATACAGTTGTCAAGAGAAAATGTTTGATGTTGGTGAAGATTTAAATTTAGACGATGCTTTTTTTGAAGCATCTACACATAATGAAGCATTCTCTATGGGTACATCATTGCCTGTCGAGAACGGCGATAATACTAATAATACTAATAATACTAATAATAATAATAATAATAATAATAATAATAATAATAATAATAAAGAAGAATCTGTTGAAGTCGTTACGAAATTAAGTATAGTAGATGATACAGAAACAGCGTTGACCACCAGTTCAATTGTCCAAGAAGTCTCTAACATGTCCACCATTCAGGTTGATGTTGATATTCTCGTGCGACAGATGCAGAGTGCACTTGCTGTGGCTTCTGATGAAGGAGAAGGAAAAGGAACTGAAGAAAATGCTCCGCAAATTCGCCAAGGTAAGCAAAAAAGTCATAGTCGACAGAAAGAGAGAAGGAGTGGTAAGCGAAACAAGATTCACAACGATGAAAAACAGAAAGAAAAAGATGTAGAGTTATTTAACACAGCAGATGATGGGACATTTGAGTTAATCAAAGAATGATGAAATGCTTATTTACTCTCTCTCTCTCTCTCTCTCTCTCTTTTTATTCCCTCTTTGTATTTGTACATATTTACGTATATACGTCTCTCCTTATTGCTTTCTTTTTTACTCTCTTTCTTTGTGTGTGTGTGTGTATAGTTTCGCCGACACTTCCTTTTTTTTTTTTTTTTGCATTGTTCTTTCAATGAATGCAGTACAGCTGTTTGCTATTCTTTATTCATGCTCTTTTTTTTTTTTTTTTTTTTTTTACTACAGGTATTTTGCGGATTGTCTGGATCTTAGAGCCTTTTCATTTTTCTTTTTTTGATTTTTTTGTTTTTTTTTTTTCTACTTTTTCTTTCCGCTCTTTGCACTAGAGTCATCCCCTTCCTTTTCTTTTTTTTCTTTCCTCGAATAGCGAAACGAATAATTGGTGCTTGACCCCTAATATTTTGCTGAAATAAATACTATATATATATATATATATATAGATATAGATATAGTATCTGTGTGTGTTCTTGTGTCTCTGTGGCTAAGATTGTTGCAGATAATTGAGTCAAAGGGGAAGAGGAAAAGAATATAAAAAAGTAAAAGTAAAGGTAGGTGTAGTCTATCCTTTGTTAGTTCATCCATGGGAGTTTTAGACCTTCTTGTGAGACTCAAGCCGACCTCACGTAGACTTAGAAGTATTCTTATACTTGGTTTGGACAATGCGGGAAAAACTTGTATTCTAAAGAAATTAAGTGATGATGACACCTCTAAAACAATGCCGACACAAGGATTTAATATTAAGACTCTTACAGCTGGCCGTCTTAAGCTTAGTGTGTGGGACATTGGAGGTCATCAGTCTATTCGTCAGTATTGGAGACATTACTTTGGAGAGACAGATGTTCTTATATTTGTTATTGATGCAGCCGATTTACAACGATTAGAAGAGGCACAAAAAGAGCTTCATCACATATTGGAGGAAGAGAAATTAAAGAATATACCATTGTTAGTATTTGCGAACAAACAAGACCTTCTGGGAGCTGTTTCAGCGGATGAGGTCGCCACTATTTTGCGTTTAAATGATGTTAAAGATCGTAGTTGGCATATCCAGCCATGTTCTGCAAAAACCGGGGAAAATTTGGATGTTGGTGTAGCATGGATAGTAGAACAGCTGGGAAATAGTCAGCAGAGACGGTAGCGTTTGCTTAAAGAGTATTTTCATCAGTTTTTTTTTTTTTTTAATATTCCTCCTTTGAACGATAATTGTAGAACAGAAAAATAAAGATGGCAAGAGAGGGCATAATAAAGTCATACACAGAAATACATGCGTACTTGTTTGTACAGAAGCAAGTTTTTTTTCTTTGTATTGACTCTTGAGGCACCTTGTTTTTTTTTTTTTTTTTCATCGGTTTTCGAGTGTGTTCTGGTCCACGTTTTTGCTGTACGTATGTATTTACGTCTGTATGTCTCTTTTTCTCTTAGTATGAGTCTGTGTTTGTGTGTATTCTTCTGGTTTCACAATATGTTTTTTCGTCTATATTGCTGTTTTCTTATTCATTTCATTTCATTTACTGTGTGTGTTTCTGTGTGTGCGTGTGTGAAATTGTGGAACAATGAACCCCTTTTTCACCTTCTTTTCCTCAGTGGGGACATGCAAAGTTCCTACTAGTTTCAGCACTGCGAAAATACAAAACTCAAATTTAAGACAAATACAAAGGCCTACATATGGTGTATCTAGGGGTTTTAGTTGAAAATTCCCAGGTACTCCTCTCCCCTTCTTATTCTTGTACTGTTTTTTTTTTTTTTTTGATCGTATGTATTCTTTCTCTTTCCCCTAACATATTTTCATCCCAATAAAACAAATGGTAAACGACACCATTATGAATACAAAAGAAAAAAAAAGGCTGAGTTGAGTTTTAATGGATGCAGAGGTCCTTACCCTCTCAGAGAAGGAAAGAAAAGGAACGGGAATAAACGTTGATATCTCCACTAAAATAGATGAACCCCGCACAGTACAAATCCCTGTAGTAAACAGTTTGGGCGAAGGTGAAGTAATTCACGCATCTGCACGAGCTCCTCCTGTGGCAGCACCAGTAATCCTGACTGGGGGGATGATTTCACCTACAACAACACAGAGATGCACGAACAAGGCCATTGATAAATCACAATCATGTAAAGTACCGTTGAATTGTTACCTTAATTCATCAGAGTCACTGCATCACCATGTTCGCTTAACTAAACAAAATGGTGAACCGAAGCAACGCCGTGTGCGTTCTGTTTCATCTTCTAAGATGGGACGAATTGTCGGTGCACCGTATAAAGAATCACGCAGCAAGAGACTCCGAGATCAAGTTATGGATGCTCGTGATATTCGTTCTAGTTATGAACAGGTATTATTACTGACCCGTGATAATAATGAGTGTATGAAAAAACTTAGAGAAAAGGAAGAAGAACTGAAGAGGCTTGAAGTAATGGTTCAAAATTATCGTCTACAAATGGTAAGAGGCACCCCCACAGTAAACAACAACGTTGTTAAGAGTGCATCTTCTGAGTTAGATCCTCAGATTATGCGTCTTGTCAATGAAAATGTTAATTTAGACAAACGATTACGCGAAGCTAATGCTCAAATCACAGAATTGAAACGTGATGCACGTGTTGGTTACTTGCATGAACTCAAAACGGAATTAGCAGTATATCAGGCGGAAGTTGTGCGGCTTTCTTCTATGATGCGAGGAAGATGTGATAAAGATTTACGTAAGAATTCTCTCGGGTCTCGCCTTCGACAGGCTCTTGATTCTTTACAAGAAAAAGAAAAATTAGTTCAAGATCTACGAGAAAGTCTTGTAAAAAATACATCTGCGCTTAGTGAATCACTTGAAGACGCTATGAGAGCGAAGAGTACAGTTCTACAGCTACAAGAGGAGAACGAGGCACTCTTAAAGGAGTTACATATGCTTAGAAAGACAACCCTCATGTTAACACAGTCCCAAAGTGAATTAGAATGTACCCGTAATGCTCTCAGGGAAGCAAATGGACGTCTCCGAGAGTTTGAGCAACTTCTAGGTGTGGTAGATAGTCCAGCAGATTTGTTAGCCATTATTAGGGAGCGTGATGCCTTGCTTTCCCTCTTAAAGGAACAGCAAGAACGGTATGAGAGAGAACAAAAAGAATTTTCACGTCTACAAGGAGAAACGAAACAAAGACTAAGAGATTCTCTTAACGAAGCCCTTCAACAGGAACGGGCACTTGCAAAAGACAAAGAAGTTCAACTTAGGCGTTCTTGCATGATGTGGAAGAAGAGATATGAACAACTGGCATTGGATAGTGCTACAGAGCAGGATAACTTAAGGGAAGAGTTGCGTGTCCTTAAAAAACGTGAGGAGGAGCGACAAGAGGAGTTACATCAGCTATTAAACAAGATACAGCCAACGATGTCTGAAGTGCACCATCATTATGAACCTTATCTACAAAAAGGTTGTGAATCGCCTTCACCGAAGGCACAAAACACGGAAATACCAACTTTAACTGATACCACCTCTGAAACGTCATTTGCGACTTCTTCAAGCTCTTCCTACACCGGGAGAACAGTAATTGTTAACAGCAACTACAACAGTAAGACTGAAACGAAACAAACTGATCAAAAAGAAATAGTCTTAGAACAAGAGTCTCGTAATCTTGGACCTACAGGGGAGGATATATCATTAAAACTATCTGAGAACCAACATGGCTCTACTAACAGTAAGAGTTCTCGAGAGCATACTGAAGGTACCCTTAACCCTCCAGCGTGTGACATCAATGCAGAAGCAGATAAGGAAGAGAAGAATATTTCGTCACGAGAGACAAGAGGAAACCTGAGTAATTCAATCAGCGATATTGCTCATAAGAAATCAGATGTTACTCAAGGAACAGGAAAAGAAGAACCTCTCGCTCTATCATCATCGACAGAACTGATCATGGGACTCTTGGGAACTGATCCTAAAAAGAATGGCAAGTTGATTTCTCCGGCTGACAGCAATTCAGCGTTAACCACGTCAGCAGTGGAAACCTCTATGAATAGTGGAGCTGAGAAATCAGAGGTTTTTCCTGGACGTCCACAGGT